TGAGTAAGTATAGCTTTCCTGGGGGATGCGCGTCGTTTACGCTGTCGTCCGATAAGCTGCTGCAGCTCTCAATGATCAGTCTACTATACAGGGTGTTTCAACACGATTTTCTAATCAATAATTTTTAATTACATTTTAACCTGAAATTAAAAATTTTACATTTTGCTCTACCGTTAAAGGAAAAAAAAATTCTAAAACGGTAAACATGAAATTTTTAATTTCGAGTTAATAAATAACATAAATTCCTCCCACATATAATAGTACTATATCAACGTATGTACTTGTATACATATTATTTTTAAAAAAGAAAAATATATCGAACAGAACGAAAGTTATTAAATTTGTCATATCATGCTGAAATATCCTTTATAATAAGTGGTTAATTTGTACTTATATACATATATTTATAAAATAGGTACACGTGTCTAACTGTGACCGTTTATATAAAATTATACATATATTTATATACATACATGTGTACCTGTATATCTTTGAAGTCCAGGCAAAGCAATCGATTCGAAATATAACCTTTTAATCACGGTTCAGTGGACGCGAATATAGGAGGGAAGGACTTTATCTCTCGCCCAACACGCATTATGTGCTTAACGGCGCGCACCAAAACGAAAACTTGTAATCGGTACCATGTGTGTGTGTGTGTGTGTGTATGTATAGAGAGGACGAAGAACACACTTGCAATCGCTGCCGACATCTCAACAGGATACGGCGTTATATCATCACAATGTTGGCGGGCCTGACTCGTTGCTCAACCTGTGTTTTTAATACGTTCTTAGGTGAGCAAAGTTTCAGGTGTGCCAACGTTGCGAACAATACTATAAGCCGTCGACCGCAGCCCACCGATAGCTGTCTCATCCGTCACCGATCAGCACAACCGCACAACAATGATTAACGATCCACATGTCGCCTGAAACTTGCTTTGACCTAAATACATTTGCAACAAGGTGAGCAAAGTTTCAGGCGTGTAAGTGAGATCGGACTTGAGTCGTCTCCTGCTGCGCCGTTCACGGGACCAAAAAAACGCGCACACCATTAATCCGCCATATTTACTGTAAAAAATAATGTTTTCTCGTAACACTCTCGTAAAATGTGCGTGAACTTATTATGTATACTATAATTTTATAAACATATGTTAGAGGTACACTAATATCGTATAATTGTACAATATAATACAGTGTAATCGTACGTTATGTTACAAATGTGACGCGGTCGCGAAAATTAGCCAACAATTATTCGATTTTAATTATTTAAATCACGAAAAAAATTAGATAATTACTTAGCTTTAGTGGTACATACGGTTGTGTGCAACCAGAACGGTTTTATAATTTTTTCTATCTAGGTACTGTCTACTTGTATACATTATGTTACGCATTCGAGTGCATTGGTATTAGTTGTATAATATAGTTCGTAGATCACATGTATTCCATATTATTTTCTTCAATGTAATAAGTTAACTATTTTTTCATAAAGATTATTTAGATTTATGTTTAAAAAACATTTCGAAACCGACTTCGATGAATAATATTATATCATACGACAGCCAACAAATAAAATTAACGGTTATCGATTATCGTATGCTTGACATTTTATGAACGTTAAATAAATTAAATTCATCCTCAGCCGTTACTTACGGCGAGGCATTAGTACTGTATTACAAAAGTACGGATTCCTTACTTATTAGACACTCTTTGTTATGGCTTAAAATGACAACAAAAAAAAGTAGAAGAAGGACTTTGATTCCTATATTATCTTCAACGTTCCATGTACCTGTCCATACAATTACTGATAAATTATAATTATATTCGTATACTCGTATTACAGTATATAATTGTTACGGCTGCTGTTCGATTTTTATTCAATATAAATTGTTGTTTTTAAAAAACTGTTTCTCGGAACCACCATCACTGGTGAAATGTAATTACCGTAATAAAATTAATAATAATAAAAATTGTAAGCTAACACAAATTTATTGATTATATTACTATAGTTTCATGACTAATTAATATAATTTACGCGATTGTTTTGACCAAACAGTTGAGAGTGAACTTCTTGAGAAAACTTTGAAAGGGAAACGCTTTTTAAAATACTATGCGAGACGTAGGAAGACCGATTCCCCTTGCCTTCCACACTTTAGGCTCTATCGTTCAGACGAACGAGCGTATGCATATCGCCTCAAATTCGGTCTCGCGTGTGTTTAAACCGTTATCGATACGAACGGATATAGTCCACTTGTATACAAACACCGTAGAAGCAGATCGACGTGATTTCGAATGATACGTCATGAATTCCGTTGGAACACGTCCGCGTCTCTTTTACTACGCTGCAACAGCTACGACAATTAACTTCTAATGTGTCATACGTGTTACGGAGTACATGTAATAGCGTATGTAAATTGTACCGTACGAGTGTTATAATAAGTATTTTCGTAGTCAACGTTAATTAGTACTCGATTGTATAAGCACCGAAACAGACGGCTCTGTCGAAGTGTAGTCACGTCGTTATTTTATACGCGTAGGTACACCGAAGGAACAGAGAGAAAGAAAACTATCACGGTGACAAAACTGAAAGGAGCAACCTGACGTTCACGATAAATTAATGTGTATTAATTGTACCACGCGATATGATGTATTATTTTATCATCTTAAACAACGTGCGCACGGCTGTAGCCGCGTCGGTGTTTTTGAACGGTTTCGTGTATTTTAATTGCATTAAACGAATGACAATGAGCTTCAATGCCCCTACTAAAACTATCAGTATTACGTACAAGAACAGTTCACGAAACAACTGCGGGTAACAGTTGCTGAATCATTGATAACCGTATTTGTGTGGCGGTCGCGTCTGTCGGAGCCAATAGAATAGAATAGAATACATTCGATTGCATGTCGAACAAACCTATATGCAGTATATGTGTCTGTGTGTGTGTGTGTGTGTGTGTGTATGCATAACATTGTTGTATTGTTTTCTATTTTCATTAGCCGACGATTATCGTTTACGGCTATGACACGGTAATAATAATGGTCGCACAACGCAACGACGTTTCGAAACTTGTACACGCGCGCGTATACCTATTCGCATTGGATCGTTTTGTGAGAATGCTGTTTTGTAAAACGCGAAACGGATTTATTATTATTTGTTATTTTTTTTTTTTTTTAATTCCCACACAAACTTTCGTTAATTACACACTCGCACACGAGGACGAACAATTTATAGTTCTAATATTAGGTATACTTTTTTTTTGTTTTTTTTTTTTTGATTGAGAGAGAAATATAAAACAATTACGATTTACATTAAAACAACCTACTCGACTATTTATATATACCATTCATAATATCTGGGAGTTTTTTTTTTCAATTCCGAAGCAAATATTATCAGTCGTCGTTTACGTAAAAACGAGTAATGCGTTTCGTATACTTCCGATCACGTCGATGAAAACGTTCTTGAAAACGCACCACGCGAAAAGTTGCCGTTTTATCCTTCGGTTGCTATACGTTTTCTCAGGACCGTGTCACGTGGTGTGTGTTTGAATTATTATTATTAAACCCGTGTAATGCATGAGGAGTGCTGCAGCGCTGGTGACATTTTAAAGATGATTTTTATTTTTTTTTTTTTATAATTTATATTCGTGTATCGAGAATAGACATCCTTGACGCGCAGTCTCGTCGGTCGATTTTAAAAATAATTCTTAACTAGCAGTGACAGATGGTTAATACGGCTCGTATAATGCGAACCAAATTAAATGTAAACCGTTTAATGTTGCTATTATTACTTTTACATCGTCGCTGTGTTGCATTTGCATAATATGATGTTTTTTATTTTCGAACAATCAATCATCACGTCGCTGCACGAACTACTGTTACGGCTTTATTTTATGACTGACACGACGGCTGCGCAAGACCATTTCTTCTTATATGCTTTAATAATAAAACTGTATTGAAATTCCTTCACAATTTAATCATTCCAAACGTTTTCAGAGTTATAACATAATTTACGAGTATGTTTATCGAAGATTATTAATAATTATTATTTTATCGTTGTCATAAAATAATATTGATATTTCCAACGTTAACTTTTACGCTCGCACTATAGATTTTAGTACTATGATCTAATATAACAAATTAAATAATCACATATATGTTTTCATAAAATCGAAAATGTCCATTAGTCTATTTTTAAATCTAACTAAAAAAAATGTTCTGTTGTACTCTAATGTTATTTAAATTTGAAATTTGTACATGTTATAGTTATAATGCTAAGACATATTAGCTTTTTGTGGTGTGGGAGACGAACAGAGTTTAATGAACACTGCTCTCAATATAAACACTCGTAAGTATATTTACTTACAGAATTAAGTTGAATTAAAAATTATTATACCGCTTAAAAATTGAGTCGAAGGAATACTCAGAGTTAGTTGGTTCAAAGTGACTCTGCGCTTTAGTAATCGGTTTATTTTTTCGTCATACTTAATAATAACCATCCGTATGAAATTCTCATTTCATATATTAATTAGTTTTACTCCTGCTTGATGTAATTACCGAATGCTGCATGGAACAATTATTATTATTTTTAATATTATATTTTGCATTGTAGGACTAAATGTCTACAAATGACCGATTGGTTCATAGTAATGCAAAAATAGCGTTTCTCAATGTATAACGCCCAAGAATTACAGATCCGTATCCCAATATAAATATTGTATTTGTAATAAACTTTTAACTATTGACATGAGAACGTCCATTATCGTAAAGAAGTTAAATTAATTGATGTATAGTTAAACATTGAAGCAATTCTGATACTGACCAAAGACTCGGATTTCTTACGTTTTGTGATTGCTGTATTAATAAATTATCTCCTCGATTATTGATAAATTGATAAACGGTCCAAGTATTTTCCGGGTGAACTCTTTCCTAGAAAAACGCTATAACATTCCTATATACAATTGACCAAATTTTCAAACACTAAAAATGTATTTTTTTTTTTTTTTTCAGTAAAAACAAAATAAACCATTCAATGCGATACTTACAGGTGCACTTTTTCGATTTGTAGTATGAGCATGATACAACTAAAAATTAATGTCAATGTGGCTCATAAAACGATTAAACATAATGCATAGTATTAAATTAGAATAAAAAAGTATTGTAAAATCGCTGACACCTGTACTAATTTTACATATTTATTGAAATTGAAATAACTGAATATAATTTTACATTTTTACATTTTTTTATTTTTATTTATGGAATATTGTTCTATGGACTTAGTTTTTGCTTGCCCTCAAAACATTATGATTAATCAACACTAATTTCAATCGGCGTATTATAATACTGTAATACAAGGAAACGACCTTGACTCAAATGAAAACGATATTACAAAAATAAAATATCTACAAATTGCTACAACTATGTAATTTCTGGACTTGAAGAATCGTTTTTAAATTATATTGAAAAAAAAACGACAATGAGCATTTTGATTTAAAACCACAAGTTGTGTGTGTGTGACGTATACGTCAAACTTATTAATATTAAACAGTTCAAGGTACGTATACGCTCATGTAATTTGGTCAAATAAAAATAAAAAGTTGACTTAGTTTCGACTTGAAAATGTATAAGTCAATACATAGCTCTTATTTATCAATATACTGATAACTCGTAGCTTACATTTAACGAAACTAGTGTAATATATAAGAGAAATATATTTTTCGTATTAATAGTTTATTAAAATAATTTCATTTTTTTTCATATTTATAATATTATAATATTGTTATTGATTTGATTTTTACAAATGGATGTCTATGTTCACTAATATTTGGTGTATTCTTAACCATCGCATATTATTTCAAATGTCTTTATTATGATCTGTCTATGGTTATCAGAATCATATTTCTGATTATTACAGAAACTAATAAAACAAATAAATAAAACACGTTTCCGTAATAGAAACTTTAATATAAATCTGAACAATTTATTACATATGATATTAAAATATACTCTGTGCTCAGGTATTACTGGTACACAGACGTATTCAGTGTTGTGTTTATGTGAAGGGGGGGAGTCAAATAAAAATTAATAAAAATGCGTACCTAAATATCATATTATGCATAAGCTATTATAAAATATTATCGTTTATCAATGTAAAATCTAAAAAGTAGAATTAATGATAATATTATGTGTTTCTGTGAAAATTTAATCAGTATTAAGACGTATTCAGTGACATATAAAGTACAAACACTGATATTTTTTCACAATATTTCATACTTTTATTTTAAAAGAAGACGAGAGACTGGAATCCTATAAATATGTCTTAGTGCTGACACGTTCGGTTTTTTACAGTTCAATTATATTATATTTTAATATTCAACAGCGTACACGTCTACCTGTTAATCGGAACGCCCAAAATATACTGTACTAAGTTGAGGATTTCGTTTTTATTCCGTCATCTGGCCGTGGATATTCGCTTGATTTAAATAAACAACAGCGAAATCGGTATATATGTATTTGTATACTTATCACATCGTATATACAGACGTTCGCACGAATCATATAACATTGTTGTTTCGAGTTACAAAGTGAAATAGTACTTTTATAGAAAAAAAGAATGCAAATAAAAGAAACTAACATTGAAGTACGCCATAACAATAATATTTTTTTTTACATTTATGCGCGTGTGTGTATATTATTTATGTATACGCATCAGAACTATATCATTATTTCCAGCCACATGGCACAAATGGCTTTGTTTATTTAATGCCATAAAACAGTGGATAACAAAATCCTAATGTTTTCCATCATTTTCATTTTCATAAAATAATTTTTCTATTATCAGTAGATGTGTGCATATGTTTATACAATGTTACTACGATACTCGGATATACTCTAATCTTGGCGAGAATCGCACATTATCGTTAATAATACATTTGGTAACGTTCTTGTGACTGCTAAATTTAATCGTATAACTAATAAAAGTTAATACGTTTTTCAAGTGCGTGAATGACACAAGTTTTATTTGTTAAATATTTAAATATATAATATTTTTAATATTTATTTTTTGATTATTTTGTTTTTTATTTTTTAAATTATTGTTTTTATTATTTTAAACGTTCCACTCATCATATTTTATTATTTATGCAGCTATTAAAGTAAATCCAAATGGTGTGGATAATAATTACATATTTTTGGATTCATAATGTAATGTTTTCTCAGTAGTGATTTCTAACTCATTTTTAATACCCCTTTTCTTTTATCTTATCTCATTATATACCAACTAAAAAAAAAAATAAATAAATAAAAAACGTAAGTACATTTTTTAAATTTTTATATTTTTCAAAATTGAAATACTTAAAAACATTAGAATGTCAAAATTAATAATTAATAATGTCCATAGTGAATAAATAGTTTATTACATAACGTAAAGTTATTGAAAATAAGCAATATATAGATATAATTCATGCAAATTTCATCTTAGGAATTAATTATGTCTTAGGTATTGCATTGCTTTTTTAAACCATAACTAATTGATATAGGTTTAATAATTTTTGTTTTAATGTTTAATACAATGGCAAAATAAAAAAAAAATAAAAAAAAAAATATAATAATGTATTTACTAATTAATTTTTTCAACTAAAAATAATAAAAACTACTTCGTATTTACATTAAATACAATAAAATTAAGACCAATTCTTTAAGGTTAATATGTTGAAATTCTGATTGTTTTACTGTATGTATTGGGCAAGGTGACAAAAAAAAATATATATTTTGATAGAAGAATAAACTATAAAATAACTGTTACAAACGAGATAAATTAATAACTAGTCTATATACGTATTGAAAACCTTTTATTTGCGATTACATTAACAGTTTTATTTATTTTTCTCATTCATCACAAATATTAATATTCAATATTATTATTTTCATTAACACTATAAGGTATTTCAAATCAAACTTTTTCGTAACATTTTTAATTTCTGATAACTTCTCGTATAGGTAAATGATTATTATACAGGTAATTCAAAATAATATTGTATTAAAAATAATATCTATATATAATATAATATATATTTATAATCTATAATATAATATAATAATTATATAATATCTATAATATCTATATATGTTTACTATGGATATTGTATACCTAATAATATCCAGGGCGATGGTAGTGGAGTGAAGTAAAGTAAAAAAAAGTAGCATAGTAACCACTAACGTAACAGAAAACCGAGTTATACCATTGAAATGCCATGTTAATTTTTGTTAATCCATCGGATTTACAAGGCAAACGGCTGAACATATAAAGTCGCATAAGGTGTCAATCGAACAGTAATATTGTGCACATGGGAGCAGAGGAACTCACAAGCAGATTGATTGGATAGCTTTTAAGTTATTACCAAAAATGTTTAAGTACTTTTTAATTTGTGTATTTTGCGTACTCAACGAAAATATCGTAAATTATAATATGTGTCCTGATCCGTCGCTTAAAGAAACTGACGGCGCAGTTTCTTGGATGCCAGAAACCAACCATTTCATGACTTGCTATCAACTGCGATTGACTTGTGACTTCAAAACTTTTGAAACCTTGTGTGTATTATATTTGTAATTTGCCATTTCGCAACAGTAATAATTATTACAATGTTTTATATATTTATTATTATTACTATACTAGTATTACTAGTATATAATAACGATAATGACTTTAATTTGTAAAAATGATAAAAAATAAGGAAAATTAAGTATGAAAAGGAGCGTACTTTGTTGAAATTATAAGTCTAAGTTAAATAAAGGTCAAGAAATCACAACTACAAAAAAAAAAAAATTTCCATTTTACGGTAGTATATTGAAATGATGTAATAAACTTATGAGCAAGTTAAAAATGAGTCTAGAACAATGGTTCTTAACCTTTTTTTTGGTTCAGCAGCCCTTTATCGTAATAATTTACTGCTAACGCTCCCTCATTTAAAATTAAATTTTCTTCCTAGAAACATATATTTATTTATTCATCAGTATACTAAATTAAATTAAACACTTTTATTTTAAGAAAATAGTAATGGTTATATTTTACTCCACTTAACAAAAAAATTTGACTTTACAAAAAGATTTTACTTAACTATGAAAAAAAAAATTATAAAATATAAAAAATTTGCCTATCAATAATTGCCCTGAGCCTAATGAGTAGTTGCTAATATCTGGTTCGATATTGATCAAAGCTAAACGTAGATCACCTTTGTTGCAAATATCCAACCGATTTCTTTGTTTAGTCAAAAACTGAACAACAACGCTGAATCCTTTTTCAACTAGATACGCTGAAGGAAAAAAAAGAAGCAACAATTTAACTTGTTGCCATAGTTGTGGATAAGTGTCTTTAAGCTTGACCTAGGATAGCTCGTAACCGACCAGCTTAAAAATAACTTGTATCTCACAGTCCTATTTAAGATCAATAAACTCCATTAGTAAATAAAGTTCGAGATCTTCTACAGATTCAAACGAAAATGGATCTAAAATCCAATTAGAGATTTGTAACTCAAGCCGGTCTTAAAATTTTGATTTCATATCTTTTTTTAGCTGAAAAATATGATCAGTGAATATTAGAATTTTTTCTTCTGGAACTAAACCATTTGCGTCTAAACATGACTTGAGATTCAGAAACTGACTCAGTTCTTGACGATTTATGTTTGTTTTGTAAAGATCCAACTTAAAAATTAATAAGGAAATTATTCCTTTGGCCTTGATAAAGTGCATCTCATTCTCTTGAAACTTCAAATTGACTTCATTAATTTATTTTGTCGCCCAATTTTAATTTTTCATTGCTTTTAATTGTCCTTTAAGATAGGATCAATTTTATCGAGAAATTCAATGATAGAGTAAAATAATACGAAAAAATAATACAAACATTTTCCTTTAGAAAGCCACCTTACTGCCGTATGCAAAAGTAATCATTCAAAATCTTCATCATTATCATGACAAAGTTCTCGAAACATGTGGTCATTGAGTGAATTTGTTTTAATTTTGTTTACAGATTTTATAACAAATTGAAGGGTTTCGTGCAAGACACCACTTAAGTTTTTTGCAGCTAAATGTTGACGATGTATAACACAATAAACACAAATAATACCTGGGACGGTTTTTTTTAGGTGGACTATGAACCCAATATGATGACC